ATATCATACTTTAAACAATACTTATTTTTAAAAAAGAATGGCTTCTAGGTCATTCCTTGGAGTTTTCTTTTGTTGCTTAAGACTGAACACTCTTGAAGTGTTAAGTAACATACTGCTATTGCACACATATCTGAGGGTTTCTCTCTGGCACTCCCTCTCACTACCATTCTTAGGCAAAAGGTCAAACGAAGGTACAAAAAATTCACTGAGATATTGCTTATCATCATTAAACAATACCATTACTTGAGAAAAATACCAACAGAAATGTGGCCACATTGTTCACACTTCATCTGAATGCTAAAGGAATAATAATATATTGACTTTTATGCTCTCAGTTCTTATTCTTAAAGCACAACACAAAGAACTTTCTTCTTTTATGACTAAAAAAAATATCACTTTAATTTTTTAAACTAATTCCTAAAGCACATATATACAAATAAATGTAAGTTTTAGGGTGTCATCAAATGACTGTACACACGATGCATTAACTGAATTGATTAATGTAGTAGCAAAAAGAAATTCTATCTCTAAGTCTTAATTAATATGTGCTCAGAGAACACACCATTTATTTTACTATCAACCTTGTAAAAATAATAGTAAATATTGTCCCTACCCATATGCACTCACACAATGCAGGGCACAGCCAAGAATTACTACAAGATTATTTCCCAGTCTACTTAAAATCCCATAGAAATTTTTGAAATTTTATGGAATTATCATATTGCACTACATGGGAGTCTATGAACTTTTTCATCATGTAAAAGCAAGATTTCAATATGGATCCTCAGTATGTCTTCATAAATAATAAACATATACTATTAAACAACATATAAAATTTTGTAAGATATAATTTTGCTCATTTAAAATAAACACTAAATAGAAGTTTGAATATTTTTTTCTTCCAACGTTCATCTTTGTCCATACAATTTCCTTGAAAAGCAACAGCCCAAGAACAACAACAAAATTGTTCTTCATCCACAGATACAATCTGATGATGGAGGAAGAACAAAGTAACCAAATTAATAAATGTTTGTTATAGTTTTAGATCTAATATATACCCAATCCCCACTGTTTAAGATTAATTTTGTTATTTCTTTCACATAGTAGTAGCAATGATACCCATCCAGGATATAACTTTTGGTGAACCAAGATGAATAGTTACAAAATAATTTACAAACATTTAAATAAGATCACACGTTCAAGAATACGTTAATGTGTAAACTAGCTGGATGCTATCTAGAATAGTGCTTTGCAAACTTCAATGTTCGTATCAATTAACTAGAGATCTTGTTAAAATGCAGATTAAGAAGTATAAGGTCTTGCTCTGGCTGGGCTGTTCAGTTGGTTGGAGCATTGTCCCATGCATCAAAATGCTGCAGATTCAATTACCTGTCAGGGCACATACTTAGGTTGCGGGTTCCATCACTGGTTGGAGTGCCTATGGAAGGCATCCACTCTCTCTCTCAAATCAATAAAAACATATCCTCTGGCGAGGATAAAGAAAAAAAAGTATAAGGTCTTGAGTAGGGCATTTTTAATACACAGGTGATGTTGATACTACCAGTTCACAGACAACATTTTTAGTAGCAAGAAACTGGACAATCAGAAATAATGATCTTTCATATAGAGAGAGGAGAAGCCCACGCCTAGAAAGGTGATAGGTTACACCCGCCTACCACCCTGAACCATATTAAAACACCAGAAGTTTCTAGGTTAAGTATAAATTAGGAAGAAATACCATAGTTAACAAAAAAATCTAAAGCAATTAGAGTAACAAAATATTTTTATATATGTAGATATATACTCATCCATGTGCCCCAGCTTTAATGAGAAAAAGAATGCGTGTTAATTGACCCACCGTTTAAATAGCCAACTTTTTTTTTCCATTTTAAGTTTTATTAAGTTTCAAATAGAAAACATTCCAAAAAGAGAAAAGTTATATATAATGCCTATGTTCTATACTCAAATAAAGAAAACACTATCATTCTGTTTCTTTTATTTATTTTTTAGAGAGAGGAAGGGAGAGAGATAGAGAGCTAGAAACATCGATGAGAGAGAAACATTGATCAGCTGCCTCCTGCACATCTACTGGGGATGTGCCCGCAACCCAGGTACATGCCCTTGACCGGAATCGAACCTCGGACCTTTCAGTCCATAGGCCGACGCTCTATCCACTGAGCCAAACCGGTTTCAGCCATTCTGTTTCTTTTAAAGTCAGACATATCAAGACCAATTCTTTTCCAAAGAGAGCAGAATTAAGTCTGCTGGGTAAGTAAACTATTTGCCAAACAGCTTAAACAGCCAACTCTTTAAGTACCACATAGAGTTAGGCAATGAGAGCATAGATGCCCGTAAGCAGAAAAGGCAAAAGAATGCCGTAACATAATGCAATATGGAGCTGACAGAACAGCATGGAATGAAGCAGAATAATGCAGTGACCTGTTCAATTATCAAAGGGCTGGAGAAAACAAAGGGAAGGCGACTGACCTGAGGAAGGAGTTGGAGGGAGGGGAAAGGAACAAAAACCAAGCAAGCAATGTTAAAATGGAGCCTAAGTAGATCAGTCAGCTGTACTGATCAATGGATGCTATTTCAATTTTAGAATATAAAGGAATTAAACCAGTGAAATCATTAAATACAGAGCTGTTATGGTACATATTTTAAATTGATAGAGCATGACTGTGCTAATAAAAGTAGTCAAACCTGACCTCCTGGGGCTCTTAATTAAGATCTTGAATTCTGTACAATGGTTTTACCATGAAAATAACCATTAATGAAAATGAGATTTTTATACATGAAGATGATAAACACTACATTATGAAGGATAGGGCAATACTACCAGAACCATCTATCACAGTAGCTTTTTAGCCATAGTATGCTACTAACCACAAACATATTTCCTAATATACCCTAAAAATTACTGTTCCTGTCTTACAATAAAAATGGACATCACTCAAAAGATTAATAACTTATAAAATCAGTTGATACATAGATCACAAAACTGTTCAATTTTAACTTTAAATCTGTCTAAATTACAACTTAATTTGCAAATATTAAACATCTATGAATACATAGTACTTCATAAAAGCTTTGGTATTATGAAATGTATTCTACATAATGCATTTCATACTTTTCTCTATGCTCATTTCCTGGTAGAAAATTTAGAAACGTCAATCCCTGCTACAATATGACAACAGACTTGAAGTAATCAATCAAAGCTGCTATCATTTTTAAACTAATTTAAACTGCACATAATCAATCAAATCTTTTGTTCTACCAAAACCAAACAAAAGCACCCTGGTCTTTTTACATAATAATATTCTCCTCTGGTTTGTCTCCTCAAAAATACAAAAACTTTTTCCTTTGGTTAATTTTTTAAATAGCTCATTTAAAAACGTTATTCCACCCAAACAGTAAATAAGGTGTAATCACCAGAGAACCTTCCAAGTTTAGAACAGACTCGTGGTTTTTCTAACCTATGTTGCAATTTCTTTATATGAAAACCACTGCCCATTTTAAAATATTCTTTCCAATTATTTGCAGTAGTTAAAAAGTGTGTGTGTGGTGGAAAAGGCTCTTTCAATAAAGATTTACATTCTCAGA